AAAACATCAGCAAAGATGTTTTATTGACTAGATGATTACTACGTGACAGAAGTTTTCAAAACCGTTTATTGTCTCCGGTACTTCCAGTCCAATGCCTACTGCATGCACAACGTTAGAAAATCGGGCCTTCAAAATAAAAGTTTGACTTTTTTACATTTAAAAAAAGAAATTTCTTCACTCACACATCTGCGACCCACTCGAAACGGGTCCGCGACCCACCAGTTGAGAACCACTGTTTAGAGTAGCTACGCAGCTTACACTCACAGCCACCATAGTTGACCTTTATAAATGTAACCATGCGCCAAAATAAACACAGGCATAAATCGCAGTCACACTATATTTAAAAGTAAAACAAAGAATGTAAACACAACAACTGGTTATGAACATGAACTTATAACCTTGATGTTAGGTTCAAACGCAGCTTTACTCACCATGTTGCTGTGATGGGTTTTGGTCATGAGAAGCATCCGCCCCACCAGGTCTGTGGTGGAGACCCCCTGTGTGCGTCTACATTCCCGGTAGCGGCCTAAGCGCTTCACCTCTGCATACGTGTCCTTACCGTCTACCGTCAGCGTTATGTCATCTGTAACACATAAACATAGATATTAGTCATCACATGTAGAAGCTTTATCACATCTCTGAGTGGGACGGCTCACCTCCGTGCACACAGGAGTCACAGTTGTACTTGTCGAGGGTCTCCAGCGTGGTGACGTAGGGCGCTCCTTCTACGATCTCATCCACCCACTTGATGGCCCGTACCATCTTGTAGCGTTCTTCCTGAGTGAAGACCGGAGGACCCTTGTGCTTTGAAATCTCAGCTGTGAGAGGGCATGGGGGGAAATACAGTTTTAATAAATTAAATTCATATGTACTGTATTGACTCTCAATTAGGACTGCACATATGGACAAAAGTAACTAGCTGCAAATACGTTCACTGTCTTGCGTTGATGATTCAATATATTAGAAGGATTGACAATTTTCTGCTATTCTCTTTACTAGAGAGGATCTGTGCCGAACATAAATGCTTTGTTAGGTCTGCACAAGATGGATGACTCTGCAGCTCCACAATACTTCATCCAAAATGGTGTTTAACACTTAATAAGCCTTTAGCAAATAGGCTGCTTCCTGCAATTTGAATTTTGCAACTTTGATAACATTCTAGTCAAATGAGCAGCCCTACTCTGTAGTCCTAATCGCTAAGTGCTGCATTCAGCACACTCAAGTACAATGTATAACAGATCTGCTGCTGTGCCGAGAAGCATCCAGACTCTTCATATAATCAGGGACTGGTCAGCTTACAGTCCCCAGAGGAACCAACTAAACAAGGAGCTGCAGCGTTCACTGTTTATGCACCACATATCTGGAACAGATCTACTACAACTCAGTTATTTTAAACAAAGGCTAAAACAGTTTGCCACAGCGTTTTTGAAAAGCTGCAATGTAACTTTGATGAATTAGATTTGAGTTTAGTTGTATCTGAATTTTATTTAGTCTTACTCCTCCAAATCCTATTTTGTCCTTTTATATACCGCTAATAGTGATTTGAAGTAGTGTGGCCTTTCAAAACGTGTTGTACAACTGTTACACTCAGTCCAATCTGACATGAAATGGTCTTATTAATGAGTAATAAGCCAATTTCCCCCCAAAAATATTATATTATCAATTAAATATATGTCATTTATTGTTAGTAAAAATATGTGTCATTTCATGTAATTAAATTTGCTTTTAGATTAACAAAGCAGTGATCGTTGCAAATAAATAAAATAACTTGCATCATCATACTGAAAAATGAGCATCAGAGCTCTCGAAATGTTTCACCAAAGAAAGAGCTACAGCAACTTTTTACCGGCCTCTACAAGCAACTAGATGCTAGGAGACAAACCCCATCTAGTGCATTCTTAAAGGTCCAGTTGTGTGTGTATTTCGGGCCTATGTGTGTAATTATAAAATAACACCATAGTGAAAGACTGAATTTATCCTCAGGTTAATCTTAATTCATATGTTCCTTATATTTGTTTGCTTTTTTTTCCATTTACCTGCTGTTGTTATTCTTGCTGGCTTTGACTTGTTGTCTAATGTGTATCTGAAGTGCACATCTTGATTTATACCAATTGAGTTCCTGCAATATAATCAGATCATTAAGAATGCAGCCATATGAACATCTGTAGCTGGCATCAGTCTATATTACACAAGGGACCATATACATGTAAACATTAACAATCGACTAACTATTCAGTCTCTTAAAAGTAATAACAAGTCTAAAGTCTCAGATGTTTCTACAATTCTTACCCAGATTGTCTTTGCAGCTGACAGAGTTGTGTTGTTTTTATTTGATTAGAAATAACATTATTGTATAGTACCATACAAGTCAGTCAGTAATAACAGTTTATCACAGAAAGGATTATACAGATCATCCTTTTTAAGGTTTATTTTTGGATTTAGTGTCTCTACTGTGACATGTCTCCATGCTTTAATGTTCAAAAAGCGCTTTATTGTTCTCATACTGCCTGTGCTGCAGCACCTCTTTTCACCTTCTGTCNGACGGAGTGAACTCTGTGGAGTGACACATGAGGCTCCCTCCTGTCAGGTGGAGGGAGTAAATACCCGGAGAGAGGGGAGGCTGTCCCAAAGCTTGCTGCTGTATTTACTCCCTCCACCTGACAGGAGGGAGCCTCATGTGTCACTCCACAGAGTTCACTCCGTCACAGAGAGGGAGTGTGTAGGGGTAGGGTGTAGGGCGAGGTTTGGGATTGGACCGCCTCAATATGAAAACAACCATCGGATGTGGGTTGCCATGAGGATGCGTCCTGCTGATGATAGAGAGTGAGAGAGGTGACATAATTAGATCAAGTGAGATTATAAAAGCCAGGCTGGGGCAGGGGGTCCAACGGTGCTAATCTAAAGCTGTGTGTTGCATAAACACCCTCCCTGCCTTCCTGTTAGGTGAAGTGGGGTTGCAGGATCCTATCAACGTATGCGAGGTCAAAGTGATGGACATCATGTACGAACAAAAAGAGACACAGAGGGAGGAGACATCAATAACATGCATGATACATCAGGGTCTCAACAACAAGGGCACCCTGCGGTCAGGAAATGAATCCTTAGGCGCATTGCCTCTTTGTAACCGCACTAGACCGACAGATTTCTGGGAAAAGCTTTCAGCAAATGTTAATAAAAAGTCCATGGTCAGTGCTTTTTCTTTTACAGAAACGGCAACAAAATATGTTAGTCAAGTATATTTGTTTGCCAAGAGACTGAGGATATGAATAGTTCACCAACCAACTGGAATCTGAAAACGAGGACTATACACACAAAGGGATTTGCAGAGGATGATAGCATTAATAGTAGCTTTGCTCGTCTGAAGGTTCGATTCACAAAAGATAATGGTGTTTGTGAGACTGACCGTTGAGCGGCCCGACCAAGCAAGGAGGCAGAGGCAGAACATCAAAAAATATAACCCGACGTGGGCATTTATTAAAATCATGTGCACAAAGTTCACACAGCCTCAATCCTGCTGCTGTTAACGCGAGCCCAGCCTGCAGCCACCAGGATCTCACACACCCTACCACTCTCCCAGCACTACAAGAAAGAGCACTTAAATATACAGACTAATTAAACACAGGTGAGGGGGAGCAATTAAACACAGGTGAGGGGGAGCAATTAAACACAGGTGAGGGGGGGAGGAGACAACCCAGGGCCCCAGGTGCACACAATCATTAGCCACAGACATTCAACATATTATTTGCACCCTGATTACACTCAACCGCTGTCATCCTTATACCAGCATCCAGACGACATTTCAATAAATACGGTTTANATCTCCTCTTTGCTCTTCTCTCTGTGATGAGCAGCAAGCTGTCAGAAAAAGTGAAACACAAACAATGGCATCAAATATTATTAATATGTCGGGTAGCAATAGATTTATTTATTTTCTTCTCAGAGTATACCAGAATGCGTGGTTTATATGCTAAAAATCTCCTGGGGGAGAAACCCCAGACCCCCCT